GTAGGTCTGTCACTTAGAACTTGTGACCCTTGGGCAAGTTATTTAATTTCTCCATGCCTCTTGTGTCCTCATTTGTAAAATGGGGAGAGTAAGAGTCGATAACTCATGGAACTGCTTTAGGATTAAATGAGTGAGTACATGTAAGAGTGCTTAAACCAAGGCTGGTGTATAACAACTGCTTTGTAAGTATTAGCTAGTATTATCGTATTGTTTATGGATATAAGATTTTGCTTATGAGTATGAAATTATACATATGCATATGTAAGACGTTTAAGTGTTCATTTTTAAAAACAAAGACATTAATGTAAAAAGATCTTTGTCTAGCCAGGTGCGGTGGCTCATGCCTATAATCCCAGCACTTTGGGAGGCTGAGGCAGGCAGATGGCTTGAGCCCAGAATTCAACACGATGAGACCCAGTCTCTACAAAAAATCAACCAGGCCTGGTGGTGCATGCCTGTAGTCCCAGCTGCTCAGAAGGCTGAGGTGGGAGGATCGCCTGAGCCCAGGAGGTCAAGGCTGCAGTGAGCCATGATCACACCACTGTACTTCAGCCTGGGTGACAAAGCGCGACTCTGTCTCCAAAAAAAAAAAAAATCTCTTTTAATATACATGTTTATTATAAAAACATTTTAAAAAATCAAATTCATAAGAGTTTTCTCTGTGTAAGAAAGAAGGGTGGGAAGAGGGGAATGGAATTAAGGGTACGTACAAAAAGAAGTTGAGCAGTATCAGTAATTTTTTTCTTTTATTAAAAAATCTGAAGCAAATACCTGTTGACTGTGGATCATATACGCAAATACTTGTCACATTATTCTATGTAGTTTCTGTGTTTTAGATTAAAAACAATTTTAAAACTTCACATCATGAAGATAGTTATTTACTACTTATCCATCACTGTAATTTAACACTTTATAAAGCTACATTTGAATTATTGGGTTTCCTCCAAGCAGATGCTTTTTACATGTTCACCATTCATACCAATAACCAAAAAATGGTGTGATACAGTGGATAAGTGAGGCAGACAGGGGTTCAAATCCAGGCTCTGCCATGTTCTGTATCTAACTAGTAAGCCTTTCTTTTCCCATTTTTAAAATGGTATAAGTTGCAATCTTTAAAACAAAGCCACTAATGTAAAAAGATTATTGTACATGTTAATCATTGATACTGAAAGTTTCTCACACCATATATAACACTTCACTTCTCTGAAACCCATTACACTAAACTAATGACATTTTTCTGATACAATTACCCAAGAGAAACGCCATCACAACAATTTTTATTACAGACTGTGATGGTTAATTTTATAAGTCAACTTGGCAAGGCTATGGCATCCAGTTGTTTGGTCAAACACCAGTCTGGATGTTGTTAAGATATTTTTTTAGTTGGGATTAATATTTAAATTCATAGACTTTGATTAAAGCAAGTTACCCTCCATAATGTAGGTAGGCCATATCCAATCAGTTGAAGGCCTTAAGAGAAAAAGACTTGAGGTCCTCCAAAGAGGAAAGAATTCTGCCTCCACACTGTCTTTAGACTCAAGACTTCAATATTAACTCTTGCCAGAATTTCTAGCCTGATAGCCTATCCTACAGATTTCAGGCTTGACAGCCTCCACAATCACATGAACCAATTCTTTAAAATAAATCTGTCCCTGCCCCCGCCCCCCTTGGCCCCACACCCTATCGGTTCTGTTTCTCTGGAGAACACTGACACAGATTTTGGTACTAAGAAGTACGGTACTGCAACAGCAAATACCTAAAAATGTAGATGTGCCTTTGGAATTAGGAAATAGGTAGAGCCTGGAAGAGTTTTGAGGAGCTTGACAGAAAAAATCTAGATTTCACTTGAGACTATTGGTAGAAATAGCTCAACAGTCTCAGAAAGCAGCCTGAGACTCACCATCTAGATGCCCAATCTTGAACCTTCTAGCTAGTAGCCTCCGGTATTCCTTTCTAGCAACACTGCTAAACAGACTAAAGCCACTATGGAAAACAATGTGGCAGCTTCTTATGAAGTTAAGCATACATTTACTGTATGACCCAGCAATCCCACTGCTAGGTATCTACCCAAGAGAAATAAAAGTCTATGCTCATAGAGAAACCTGTAGACGAATGATCACAGCATTATTCACAATTACGAAAAACTGGAAACAACACAAATGGGAATACTACCCAATAATAAAAAGTAAAATAAAAAATAATAAGAAATAAATTTACCAATATATACAACAACACGAATGAATCTCAAAGGTACTCTGCTAGTGAAAAAAGCCAGGCTCAAAAGGCTACATTCATATAATTCAATTTACCTGTCATTCTGGATAGAACAGAAGTATTGAGACAGAGAACAGCTCAGTGCTCACCAGGGCTGGATGTTGGGGAAGGGTCACAAGGGACCTTTAGGGGGCGATTTACTGTTCTATATCTTGATTACTACAGTGCTTACATTACTGTACTTGCTTGTGAAAGCACCCCTAAAAGTGTAAATTTTACTGTTATGTAAATGATACCTCAATGAGCCAGACTTTTTAAAAAACAGTCTAGTTTAACACTAAGTTTTAAGATCTGTTGAGACAGGAAAACAAAAATCTTGAAAGATGAGCATGCCCTAAATATTTTAAGCAGGTTAACTTAGTCAAGTGAATTTAACCAAAATTTGGGATTTTTTTTAAAGTCTGTCACAACTTCCATACTATAGGGGTCAAAAGGCCTATTTTCTGCCCCTGAATCTGCCAATTAAGTGATACATGCAGTAAGATGATTTCACCATATTTGCTTCTAAGTTTACTATCTGTAAAATGAGAAACATCCTTCCTAATCTCAAGGTAGCTGTAGCCATCAAAAGAGATGATATATGGGAGGGGGGAAGAAGGTAGAGAAGACGACAGTGAGCCACTAAGAAGATGGTGAGCAGGGTAAAGAAGAGGGTTGGGGGGAAGGTGGGGAAGAAGACCGTGGGGGAAGGTAGGGAAGAAGACCATGGGGGAAGATGGAGAAGAAGAAGGTGGGAAAGAAGACAGGAAAAGAGGTGGGGGAAGGCGGGGAAAGATAGAGGTGGGAGACGTGCCTGGGTGTGGGTGGGGAGAGACGGTGGGGGCTGGTGGTGGTGGGGAAGAAGACGTGGGCCAGGGTGGTGGGTGGGAAGAAGACGTGGGGCTGTGGGTGGTGGAAGAACGGTGGGGCTGTGGTGGGTGGGAGAAGACGGTTGGGCTGGGTGGGTGGGGTTGGGGAAAGCGGGGGCTGTTGGTGGTAGGTGGTGGGTGGTGGGAAGGTGGCCTGGGAGGGAAGAAGAGGGTTGAGGTAGAT